TTTGTAGGCTTTACCCACAAAACAACCACAGCAAAGGTTTCCAGCTCTGCCTCAGAACAGACCAACTGCAGCTAAACTTGCCTCAAAAACTGCACAAACAAGTCATTAAAACTAAAACAGACACAGAGTGAGAGCGCGAGCGAGAGCGACAGACAGGAGGGGCTGTACCAACACGTTATGGTGTGGACACTTAAATCACGTCAGCCTCAGGAAAACAAAAGACAACTAGTTTGAGATATACTACTATATTTTTTACATTTCTTGAAGATAACAGCAATGCTAGCTTTACCAGGCACCCCAAAATATTGAGATATTGTTTTCTTATGATCGTGTGAATGTGATAAGTTGGTCCAAAGCAGACTGATATTTATAATAGAAGTATGTTGTTTAATCTCAGGCAGTCAGGCATGATAGATGTGAATAGCTTTCGATCACTAGAATGGGTTGTTGTCACGCGACAGGAAATGGTTCTTTTCTCTCAGATAACTTAAGCTATTGCAACATGCCACAACACACGGCAAGCGAAAGAGAGCTGGCTGCCATGGCAACTATCCCATAGATTCATAAGCACGGAAAGAGGCCTAAGTTTTGCTGTCATCAGACGTATTCAGGACACACACATATTGAAGTCTCTTACAAATGAGTTGTGTACTTTCACACTGGGAGTTTCTCTATAGGGCTGCTCAGTCTCTCTGCAGAAGGGCCCGACTCGAAACCACTGTATTTTCCTCTGGGGTTTGGCATAAGCAGCTGCAGAGAGAGTGATAAAACTGTTGCATACAAGGACACACACACACTCAACATGCCCATATTCACATATGCACTCGGGCACACACACAGTTTCCCCTGCATCTAAAGCATGCTGTCCTGCAGCATATTTCATCATTAAGTTTCAACACCTAATCCTCTGCTCCAGTGACTCCAGCTCTCTCACATCATTTCAATAATCTGCATCTGTGGTGAGCGTCCAAACAAACACACACATGCACAACTGCGAGCCAACCCACCAGTTTTGGGCACACAAAATAAGGATGGGGCACAGTGGTCAACCAGTTGACTAGTCATCCAACAACAGACAATTTTATATTTGATATATTTCTATATTTATATTCATTAATTAATTAATTAATATTATTATTACTATAATTATTATTATTTTAAACTATTTATCTATTCATTTATTTAAATTTAATATTTTTAGATGTCTGTCAGTTTTGGACATATGTAGAATGGCATGTCTAAAAAATTGTCTGTTCACCCATGCTCACGTGCATAAATCAGTAAAACAGAAGGACAGGTAGAATAAGCCAAAGGGGAGCATACAAGAGTCGTGTCTAAAGGATAATGTGACCTTTTCCCCACCACCATCTACCATTCATGGACAAATTGAAGCCTTTTCCACCAGCCATCACCAATTGACAACCGGCAATCTGAGCCGTCATCCTGAAACAACCCGTCTCCACTGCCTGAACAATTTTACAGTGTCTGAATCATGCCCTTTGAACTGTGCATCTCCTCAGTGGCGTCTCCAAGGGCCGAAGAATTCACTTCAGTGCACACCTCATGGCTAAATGCACAGAACCTCATCAGATAACGCACACACTTCGACCCATCTACACACAAGCACACACTTTCCCCTCAGTCCTTCATGCAGGGCGCTGTCAGCCAGACTTCCTGTGCCAGGTCTGCTTCAAGGTTAGCTGCTCATTGTATTGAGTGAGTGGCTGAGGTTCTGTCAGCAGCGAGTGGGCCTACTGGATGCATTATCACCTCAGCCGGGGAGCTTATCCGGCCATCCTGGTCTCCGCCTGTGAAGCGGGCCGCCACGAATGCCTGACGCAAAAGGATTAGAAGCCTGTCAACTTCACCCCTGGCTCGACACAGATGCGCTGACCGCAGTTAATAGGTTTAATTTCACCCTTTTTGACATAGCTACCGGCCAAAGGAGAGGATTGAGGCCTTGGCCATATGGCCTATTTATTATATGTAAACACTCAAAGGCATCATGAGGTTTTTTTGAAAGGATAATGTAGATGCCAATGCGAAGAACTAAAGGGATTGGAGAGCTTTAAGCCAACGTATAAAATCAAATGTGGTGGCCGTGTTACTGACTGAAGTCCTGCAAGTTATTAAGAATTGGGAAACAGCAATCATTACACAACATGATTTTTGGCAGAACAAAAACACATTGGCCAATTTCAACTTCCTGACTAAACTTTGTAGTACTAGTGCAACAAAATGAAGGACAAAGGATAAGCTTTATGTATATAAATTAAATAAAAAATACAAAAGTGCAAATTAATATTATAAAAGATTCATTTTTAAAAAATGTATATTATATAAATCTAAATAAATATAAAACATAAATTCCTTCATTTGCACTAGATATATATATTTTTTTTAATTTAAAAAAAAGAGAGACATATGGGAGAGGGAGACAGACATAGATGGGTGGATGGATGGATTGGGGGATGAATGAAGAACAAGGGAGCAAGAGGGGACAAAGAGGTTCCAAAGTCCCAAAACCACATCTGGTCTGGGGGTCCGCCACAGTGCCAGGGGTGCTGAACAACTGCTGCAGCAAACGCAGCAGTTCGTGTTTTCAGCTCTGTGATTTTAATGCAGACGGCCGTGTGTGTGTGCGCACGTCATAAAAATGTTTCTGTGATATTCTCCGGAGGGTTTAGAAGTTGTTTACTGCTTCTCTCTGGAGTTTGGCTACAGCTCTGTCTTTTAACGCAGTGAGACACAGAATATTCTGCCATTGCACCTCCTCTTGGAGTCAATCACACAGAGAACGCTAACTATAGTTGGAGAACCACGGCCATACTGAATGCTGTAAACTTTGGATTATCCCGTACAAATTTAAAATGAATACCTGGTGGGGATTCTGCTGTCGTGTTCCACCTAAGTAATCCTAATACCAACATTTACATTCAGAAAATACTGCATTAAATGAAAACAATCAACAATCACAGCAACACACACACAAAAGAGAGACATCACAGAACTTTCTTTTGTTGTTCTCCAATATGAAGTCTCAACAGGTCTACATTATCTAGTGTTTATGTTGTTGTTTTTCAATGAGCTGTACTATTGAAACAAGCCACTTAAAGACCCCAATGAAGTTGACTGACTAGCAGTTTTCCTTTTCTAAGCATGTGCTGATGTATTTGCAATTAAAACTTCCTTGAAAATCCCTTTTTCAATAGCAAATAAGCTTAATTTGCTACTTGCTAGTCAGTTGCAGGTGGTTTTAGAGGATTAAACATTTTTATTCTAGAGACTGGACAAAAATCCAGTGCAGGATGAAGGATCTGCCTTATTGCTCCAATTTCCCAGAATAAAAAGACGGTAAATTTATTTAAACTGCTTAATGGATTTAGTCAACATTTTAGAGTTCATTAGCATGCGAATGCCACAACTAACCAACATGCATCAAAAGCTACAAAACTCAAATTTTGATTTTATGGAGTCTTTTTTTCCGCCAAGTTCCCGTACGACTTTCTCATAAATGATCAGAGTTGCTCCAGATAATATTTACTTTTCTTGATGAGCTCGTCTTCAGCTAGTAAACAATTTACTGAGTGTGACGTGCTGGCGGCCTATAAATCACCATGCAGAAGGAACGGTAATAATCTCATTTTCATTGATTAATGACTGCCAGTGCGGACTATTTTTCTTGTTTTGTCTAAAAGGCAACAGTGACATCATCTGCTGTTTTCCCGCAGAGATCTGCAATCACCGAAATGGCAACTAAATGGTTTCTGTGTGTGTATGCATGGCTATGTTTATCCGTCTGCCTGAAAGAGAACGTCACTGTGTTGTCTGTCAGTTCCCTGGAGATTTGTTTGGCTGCACACTTTTGTTCATATCCTCAATTTGCGGTCCGTGTCATTTAATCAATTATAGTCTCAAGGATTTTTTTTATTTGAATGGCCCTCAGAAAACATCATTATTACCTAAAAGATATCACGGAGTTGTCTTGAAGCATAAGTGTCCCATCTTCAATTGCATTAGTCTCAACAGTATATTTTTGGATGGAGTTTGAAAAAGAGGCATGTCTAATTATGTGGCTAAAGCCCCATTCACACCAAGGACGATAACTATAAAGACAACTACAAAGTTTTAAAAATCATTCTAACTCTATGAGAATAGGGAAATCAACACCACTTATACATGCACCCATAATAAACAGAACATAATCATGAGTTGGTGTGGGCACTAATCTAGTTATGGCTTTAGTTATCTTTCTTGGTGTAAACAGGCTGGAAAGTTTCAGAAAAATGTTTACATCATCAAAATGGCTCCTCTCCTTCATTCTGCAGGGATGATTTTTTTGGGAAAGGACTTGTCTGTTATGCCATGGATTTTCATCCACAGCCAGATCCAACTACAAAACACACCACCACAATAACAAGAATGCGTCAAATTGGAATCCTGCCTTTTGGCAAAGATTTGCCCGTCTGTAACATCAACACCCTGGAGGTTTAGCACTTGAGAAAAGGAGAAATATGATATTCTCATTCTCTCTCTCCCTCGCTGTCTGTCTTTCCCTCCCTAGCTGTCGTGCTCTCTCTCTCAGTTTTAATGTTATTTTCTGCTCTGTGCAGTGTCTGGCTGGCCCTTAGATTCGTCTCAGACACAGCTCCTCTGAGGCACAGTCAGAGAAGAGGGTACCGGGCCGAAAGCCCCTGCACCGCATCATCCAATTACCCCCAACAGCCTCTGCCTGTGCAGGGATTCCCATGGCCCTCTCTGCCGGCGCCGCTTACCAACCGTTCCTCTCTACATGCGTCAGATACAACAGCAGATGATTGCCGAGCATGACCACTGTTGCAAAACTCGCTGGATCTAACGTTCTTACAGAGCGGGATGCAGTGAAACATGATCAGATCTTCTCATTTGTCATAAAATGCCCAATGTCAGCAATTACTACACAAGACGTGATAGACCTAGCTTTTTAGAAGTGCACAGCAACGACACAATCCTTGAATCAGTCAACTCGGTGGTTTCTCACTCTCCTGCAAAAGAAACATGAGTCCTACCTTTTTCAGACGACCCCCTTTGGTCCCCACAAAAGCCAGAGAATGGTTCTTGTACACGTAGGCGATAACTGATGTCATTTTGTCATTGGATTCGGAGAACAGTGGAATTCCGCGCACCATCTCTGAGACGCCGAGTGGGGCGTTCATATCCAGACCACAGAAGTTGTCATCGATGGTGAGGAGCTAGAAAGGAGAACGATAAATAATGTTTAATTCATCTAGAGCAGAGTAGATCTAAAACTAGTCAACTTATTGGTTATAAAATGACAAGTGGAGTCATTTCTAGTTTAAAGAAATGTGATGAACATTAGCAAGGATATGGAAATTCCTACAAATGTTATAGACAAAGCTGTTTCCCTTTGACTAGTTTATGATGCAACATACATGTTTACCGGACCATTTGCGAGGCATTTTCACAGCAAATACATCATTGTCACTACTTAGCAACAATTCAGCCAGTCATATCTAAAATGGGGTTGTGAGGTTTATCGGATATAAGACCAAGTGCATTTATCATTTCAGGTGGAAAAGCATCTTAAAAAACATCTTTTAAATATGGCATTTCAGGTGATGCCGTGCGACTTTATTTGACATGTCAGCCAGAATGGAGTGATTTACAGATTCTGATATTGAAATAATAATTTGGTAATGCTTCCATATTTCAGTCTGCTGCAAGGGCTTCGGAAACAACGGCATCCATTGAAACAGCTGCACAGACCTCAGGATAAAATGTCAAACAAATCGAAAGCATGATTAATGATGCCCAGGGCTTTGACTCATTGAGGGTATGAAACCATAACACTTCTCAAGCACTGCCAAATATGATACGCTCACGGCCTTTAATTCATTTATGAGTGTCTCCTCAGGCTCTGATAAGGCCTGCTCAGAAAAAAAGTTTGAATGTTAATTTAAACTGATTTTTTTATATTATGCAAATTGATTAATTTAAAATCTTTATCTTTCAGAACAGAAGAAAAAATGTAACAAAATAAAATTAATTAATTTTACTTGAACACAAATTCCTTCTAATTGTTCACTAACAATTACTCAGCGCATGTTGTTCTAAAGAAAAAACTCCCAATATCTATCAAAAAGATATCAAAAAGAAAAATCGGCAACATTTTCTGTAAACACATTCCACAAAATTAATGGGAAAAAAGTAAAAAAAGACAGACCTTACACAGATTATGCATAATGCAACATGTGAGACCAAGTAAAAATCTTAAATGTTCTTTTATTCTGTAAAAGGTCAGAAAAATTCATCAGCAGTACACATTTCAGATTTCATACATGGCATAATATTTTTGTCAAACCACAGGGGAGAAAAAAAAAGATACTATAAAAACCTCCACTGTTTGTGTGTCATCTATAGTTGTTTGACATACATGATGTAGTAAGGCACTTTAAAAGGTCTAATTTCATTCTGAAAGCGTGAACCATAACTGCCCATTATTAAGCAGCCTAACAGGTGTCTCCAGCTTCTTTATTAGCATTAATATTTCAGTTTTTAATGGCATATACTCTCAACTGGATCATGAAATACAAGACAGCTTGAGCTGCGTTTTGCCCCCAGGCACCAACCCACAGCACAGTCCCCAGTGATGAAGTAGGCAAAGGGCAATCCTGAGTGATGCCCAGGTTGTGAGAGGAAGCATCTGGATGTACATTATCACTCACAGACTCTTTGTATGTACTTATATAATGTACATACTCCCTTGATGAGAGTTCAATTATATCTGAAGTGGCATTTATCTTAATAACAGCGGCTCCCAGCTAATGTTGTTTGAAAATCCAATGAAGGCCAAGGGACAAAACTGTAGCGGAGCAGCAGACTGGATGAACCTCGGAGAGACACGATCAATCAAGTGACCGGATGGGTCTTTACATGCAATATAGCAAATGTCTATTTGTCAGTGGTCAGGAGATACAAGACCCTTCATTAAGCAAATGGAAGACAGGGGCTGTCTCTCTAAAATGGCGGTTTATGAGTGATCGGCCGAATCGATAGCGAACACCGCACTCAATTCTCAGTTCACTCAATACAAGCCGGAATGAAGAATAAATAGAGAAATGAGGGACAGAGAACAGGGAAATGTTCAACATTGTATATGTTTTTTCCTCTCTCTCTTTCTCTCCGCAGATGTCTGACCTTTAGAAATGTTCTGCTGTCAGCCAAAGTCTGCGTGCTGCTTGGCTCGCCAATGCCAGCCCAGAGTAATGGTGCTAATTTCTAGTGCACAGCTCTTGTTAGAAAGCCACAGCTACATGAAAGATCTGTTTTCTGCAGTGTTAGTCTTTCTGCAGATGTCTCTTGTCCATATTGAGGGCCATGAATCATTGCGGGATGTTGAGGCAGCAGCAACCTGCTTCTATGTGCACACCTGCTTACACACGCAAATAAAAATAAAACTCGACCACAATCATGGCCTCCAGCACCCTTCATCCTGCTTACACGGGTCAAAATATGTAAAGCCCCAACGCAGCACACTGGTAGCAACAGCTACAAAGACTTGCCACCTTTGAGGTTAAGACTGAAAAAGAAAACTGCGCTAAGAATAAACACAATGACAGTCATAGTTGTGACACAGACTAATGCCTTTTGGCATTGCGGATATTTTATCAGAAAGCCCAGGCCTTCGCGTGGCAGGGCGCATATGCCTGTGACACAGACTGGGGGAAAGGAGCATGTGTCTCGACGTCTTCTCATTGGCATATGCCACGATATTTCTGGCAAGGTGAACAACATGCCAATCAGACCCTATGTGTTGCAATCTAATGAAATAGGCTTCCTGTCTGTCAACCTTTCAGGAAGCGGACACGTTTTCATTACGTAGCCACATAAACATGACATTTCCTCTCTCCCCATCCCGACATAAATAACATCTCTCAACGCCTCATGCATGAGAGGGGGCGCCCTCCCTGCCACCCTCCTCTACTTCTTTGCACTCTCCGTTTCTCCGCCTTTTATGCTTTCTTTCCGTCTACAACTGCCACGCTCGCTCTCGGCACGGAGCGGACAAACAAGCTGCAGCATTATTGCCAATTTCACACTGCGCACCTGAAGGTGTACAGGAGAAGGAGGGGGGAAAGAAAGAAAGAAAGAAAGAAAGAAAGAAAGGAGGAGGGAATGGTTTGATGAGCGCAACAAAAAGCTTCTGGATCGGCGCAGGCGCCGTTTTATTTTTATTTGAACTGGTTTCAGAGAACGGGGAAGCAGAATCAGGTCATTCGGACCGCTCGCTGCCTGGCTACGTCCTGCAACACAAAGGCAGCTCTCTTTCCTTGCGCCGGCATCTCTGTGTCCCTGGATAGTAAGACACCAAGTGAAATCCAAGCTTTTTTTTTTTTGAGAAGCTTTTATTCAAGTCTTTTTGTCCAATTGGAGCACACAGAAGACTAACCTTGAAGAGCATCTGGCACAAGAAGTAAAAGGAACCCTGGTTGCAGGTCTGGGGCACGAACTACACACTTTTTAGTTCAAAACGCCTTTTGTATTCCTCTCTGTTAGCTGAGAGGGCGCAAAACATTTTAATGTGCTATTAACAGATCGCAGTTTGATCAAAATGCACAGTTTATGCAAATAAACCCTGATCAGTGCTGCGAGTGTACATCATTCAGATTATGATTCGGCTCTTCAAGAGCTAATTCTGCACAGTCATATAATTACCCTTTCAGAGTCTTTTCTTTTCATGCTCAAGTAATATCTCACGCAGGGATTGTTGTTAGCAACAAAGACATTATTTCCCACAAATCTCAGCTCCATGTTCGACGTAATTATATCAACACTCAGTCAGCTCGAAACACGGCAATCCTTGTGCTTGTACAATCCTGCGGCATTTAAGAGGTTCTTTTTTGTGTCAGTTATGTGTTTGATTGGGAGCATTCTCCACTCGCTATGTCTTAATGGTTTCTATCAGGGTTGAATGATTGATAGACAATCATGCTGACTCTCCACAGAGATGAACCATTCAGGAGAACAGCATAATGGCACTCTATTAGGGATGCAGAAAACCTCATATTTTCAAATTCGACTATTTGTTGGGTTGCCTGAACAACTACTTCACTCATCGGTTTTATAATTAGGCTGATTTCGGGTTTGTCTGACGCAACAGGTTTCTTAAGACACATAGAGATGGCTTATGTTTAAAATCCAGTGGCCAGCTCTGGCCCTCAAGGTCTACTTTGTTTCAGAGTTTAGCTCACCTGCCTGTAACTTTCTAGTAAACTTGAAGACCATGATTAGCTTGTTCAGGGTTTTTTTTTTTAAGGGTTGGAGTTAAGCTCTGAAGGACAGTGGACTTTGAGGACCAGAGTTGCCCACCCCTGACCCTAACAGAACACAAGAGGATGGAGCAGGGGTTGAGAGACATTTTAAAATTGGACTATTTTTAACTTGACAAGTAGGGAGGCATGATATATTGCTTTATACTATATATAGATTTTTTTTTTTTTATGGTAGATATGGGATAATTCATTTCCGCATGCTCATTTCTCCTACTTTTACATTTAGATTGCCACAATTTAATACTCACTTAATCTTCAAAAACAGTAATAATTAAAAAAAAAGTTAAATGTAATCTTTAGCAAATCACAAAATGAATATCCATTTCCATACTGTACATTATGTTTTATTAAAAATGCAAGAGATGTGAGATGAGAGTGGAGCCAAAACAAATTAATTTGATATTTGAAGGTGATAATTTTAACCTTTTTTTTTTACATTATTTTTAATCATAAAAATGGTCTAACAGCTAAAGCACCAGCACTAAATATAAAATTTATTACAAAAAATTTAAATAAATAAATCATGGACTCTGAGGCGTTTTTTGGGCCCTGGAGATGTTTTGATATGTCCTGACATTTCTGCTTATTTCAGTTAATTATAACATTTTAACGGCTAAAGTCTGATTACACTGTATTCAGCGTTATCATCCATCCCTACACTCCCATGCCATCCTTTTTCCACACCGCTCTTTTGAATTAAAGGCCTCATTATCTCTGTTTCCATCCTGCTGTGGCCTCTACCCAGTGCTGACTTTACCAGAGAACTCGGCTAAGAATAAATGAAAAGATGTGAGTGATGAATATCGCACAACTATCTGCAAGTAATGACGCTTAATGACTTAATGACTGTGAACCCTTTCGGTAAGAAAGAGATTCTGCAAGCTTCCGCTTCCATAGCA